CGTACAGCTGCATAGAAGGCTCTGCACCGGAATATCTTAAACAACTAATTTATAAACATGTATCCTTAAAGAACCTGCGGTCTTCAACAGAGACTTACTGAAAATTCACAGTGTGGATGAACACAGAAAAAAGTCTTACGGAGTGCGATCTTTTGAAGCGATAGCGCCAAAATTATGGAACAGTTTGCCTCAATCTTTGAGGGGAATTGAAAAATGATAAAAAAATCATGTAAGAAAAATTTTAAAACTTTTTTGTTTAAATAGATTTAATAGAGCGCAGTGAGCATGCTAAGGTGGCATGGGTACCCAGTGCTATATAAATATCCAATCAAATCAAACTAAACCCCAAAACAAGTCAAAACTTTTTCTTTTTTCAATTTCATTTTGTAAACTTAAGACTTATAATGGAATTTTATTTTTAGTTTCTGCTGTCAAATTCCACAGCTGTGCAAATTTAATTTTCATAAGCCTATTTGCAAAGTCTTTACTAAGGTGGAAATGTCTTTACTAAGACAAACTGTTGGAAATGAATTGGCCATACACTGAGGAAACCAGAATTTTAAATATTAACTGGCAAACAATGTTATAGTATCTACCAGGTAATAGAAAAAGAGGAAGGCCAAGGGACACATGGATTTAGTGAGAGAAATGGCAAAAAGTGGAATGAGTTGAAAGGAATAGCTCAGAAAAGAGATAAATGGGAAGAATTTGTGGATTAACTAGGAGCTAATAAAGCAAAGAGCAAGAAGACAGAAAAGTCTACACTTACTTTCACTTGTGATTGTCCAACTAGTGTCTGGTGAGTCCTATGGAAAAATATGGACTTCAAGTCAGCAAACCTAAATGATATTCCTCTCATAATGCTCTGGGCAGTGTCCCCAGCAAGGAACATCTGGTTGGGGAAGCGACATAATGATACCAGAACGGCCAGCTCTGCTTGGGAAAAGTCCTGGGTTTCATCAATGTAAATGTTGTGAGGACTCCAGTAAATGTTACCTGGCTGTGATATCATAGGAAAAATATTCAGAAATATTAGCCATGAATAATAATAAATATAGGGTATAAAAAATTGTTAAAATAAATAATTAATGGCTAGAAGATTATTATAAAATGGTCAAACATAGGCCATAAATTTATGAATTCGTGGTCATCATAAAAGAAGGACCTGAGTAATCTTCTAAACTGATTTAAATAAAACAAGGAACCACCTGTCATCTCATACTTACAGTCTCCTTCAGTCTTCTGTAGATATGAAAAACGACATCGGCCTCATCAAATAAATGATTCTGTTTTGAGTACTTGTGATATCGTTGAAATATTTCATAAATGATGGGCCGGTCGCCATCAAAGTTTGGGGCTCTTTTCCTTCCAATAGAAATGTATTGCTCCATGTTGAGGTAACCTTCCGGGCATTCCAGGGCTTCATAGGATCCTTTTATAAAGGACACTATTTCTGTCCAAACCAAAGATGGGTGGAAGGGATTCTGTTAAAACATAAGTGTAATGTTTAATTATTTATTTTGTTTATTGTATATAAGAGTATCATGTGTTTTGTAAATTTATGACATAAGCGGGTATTACACGTATGGTATAATTATATATTACATGTATTTTACACTTATGTTCATTCTTACATAAACATTTTAGTCTCCTACCTCTTTCTTTATCTTAGGCCAAATCTCATGAGCAAAAACTTCATAAGTACTCTCCCTTCTTGGATCTGCTTGTCTCTGCAATCTTGCTTTAGTAATTATATTTTAAATTAAATTTTTAATTGTGATTTTAAAAAATAGCATAGTATTTTTAATGCAAGTATTTTTTTAAACATAAAAATTGCATTTGATAATTATTTTTGTCTTTTTTTTTTTTTTTTTTTTTCCTTTTTAAAAAAATATTATTACAATTATTTTTATTTTTTTTTTTTTTTTTTTTTTTTTTTTAAAATTTGCTTTTTATATTTTTTTTTTTTTTTTTTTTTTTTTTTTTTTTTTCCGTATTAAAAAAATATTATTACAATTATTTGTATGCAAAGATATTACTATTATATTTTTAAAAAGTATTTTTATTTAAATTACATTACACAAAATCCTAGTATTTTTAATTAAAGAATTCTTAATCATCAAATAATAGGGATAAAGAAAAGATATACTTCAGTATTTTTATTATAGGTACCTTTTTTTTTTTTAAAAAAAAGTAAAATTGTGGTTCACAAAGATATAATGTAGTATTTTTATTTTTAGATTAAGAAAAAAAAATCACAAGTTTGAATTATGAAGTGTGTGTAGACCATAACAGATTCAGTTGTCCTGAAATTGTGTTTGGAACAAAAAGAGATGACTGCTCTATTGTGTTACAATACTATGCAATGATAGATCACTGACCATTATGGAAACCTCTATCATTCATTCTACGCAATGGCTGACCAATGTTGAAAATGTCTTCCTGTGGCTCCCAGCCAGGTATATACAGTTTCATCCCCAGGTCTTCATCTCGAGGAAAAAATGCTTGACCATCAACAGAAGCGTCAAGGATAAGTAATAAATGTCTGGATGTCAGGAACAGGGGGAAGGAGTTATCGTCCATGTCCTGTGTAAGAGAAAGAACTGCTAGCTACAAAATGCATTTCTTCAGTTAGGCCATGATCATATACTTACTTCTAAAGGACATTTGGGTCATAAGTCAAATTTACATAAAATTAATAACTTGCCTGCAGTCGATTTGGAATATCCTCCGCTCTCTGAGCCACACGATCACGTAGCCATTTAGGAGTCTGGCAAAGTTTAACAAAGCTGTTCTCCACTTCCTGGCATAAAACTGGGTTTTTGGTCACAAAAATCTGAAATCGGTTGGAATATTTTTTTTTAAATTGAAAACGACAAAAGCGGAATACAAGTAATACAAGTATATGTGATTCCTTCTGTTTTTAATATTAAACATAATTTTTGCAAAATTGCAACACTTTTAATCTCCTCCAAAATGTAATTAATATGTCTGGTTTCTCTTGAAACCGATTTATAAAAGCTGAATTCTCATTTGGTCCAAAAAAATTAAAAATGTATGAGTCTTATATTTGAAAATGACATCTTCCAACTACAACAGGAATGAGTGAGTTTAATACTATATAAGCTGATTTTTTTGTTGATTCTTAAATGTTTCATGTTCAGATATGTTATTTTTTAAACCCTACCATTAAGTGCTTTAGAGAAATAAATTTTTTAAGTTAAAACAATTATTTCAGTAATATTTTTCTTGGGCTGTGAGTAATAGGAAACAAAACGAGTGATCAATTTGATCCCCCCTCACCGTTTTCCTTATAAAAATGTTTACAATAAAGTGAGTTAGTTGTAACCCTCCAACTTTACATGCATTTTATTATTTGTCTTTCAGACCACACAATAGCGGAGTTGGTGCAGACAGCCTCTATTTAGCCTGACTTAAAACTTGTCAGGCAAAAATTGACAAAGTTATGTATTGAGCCAAGCCTTTTAAAGAAATACAAATCTTAGGACAAATATTATTAGGGCTACTTTGGCTCTTCCCAGTACCAGAATCTCTTTCCTCAACTTAACCCTTCAGTGCCTCTCATAAATATTAAAAAATGTATCCCCTCAATGCCTCTCATAAGATTTAAAACCAACCCCTCGTCTCAACTATGGCTTCATGTCAGAATAAAATGCTCAGAATAATTTGAGTTTTATGATAAATGTTTCATTCACTTACCTGATGCAGATGTTCATAATTATGATCACTCTCATCTGTGTCTTCACTACTTTGACTGTCATTTCCATCACCTTCCATTATTGCAACTTCCGGATCGTCACTGTTGGCTTCATCCGTAACTGGTGAAAAATTCAATAATTCAAAGCTAAAATTCAAGTGTGCATGTAGAAATTAAGTCTTGACAGATTTATGAAGAAAAAGCATTGTTTTTTTAAATAATTTATCTCTTATTCCAATAATAAATTTGAGGGTCATCTTTGTTTTATTGTTTGGATTAGTTAAAAAAATTAGTCATGGCCAATCATAATCTGTTATTGAGATACTATATTAAAAAATTAAAAATACAGTGGGGCCTCAGAATCCGAACTTAATTTAATCCCAAAGCCTCGTTTGAGTTCCAGGAAAAATTTTTCCCTTTAAAATAGAAACTGGAAAAATCTGTTTGTAGGTCCAACAAACCCTATGGATATCTAGTCCTTTTCTTAAAGTTTTCAAACCACCTCCACTGGCTTCAAACTCCTCTTTTTGAGCATTACAATGAGGCTTAACTTTCACTAGATCATCGTGGAAAGTAGAGGCGCTTGGTTTTCTCACTTCTTTTTTTTCCCATCTCTTCAAAACTTTTCAGTCTCCTTCAGGTCAGTTTCATTGCCCCTTTCCCCTGTTCAGCTGCTCTGATAGCTTCTTTATTTTCAAAATAGTACAAACAGTTGACTTAGGCAATCCAAACATAGCAGCAAGATCAACCCAAAGTGTACTGTTTGCACTCTTAGCGATAAGATCTCTCTAAGCATCAATTGTAGCGCTAACAGCTGTCCTCTTATTATTATTTTCCTCACTCTACTTTTCTGGGCCCATGGCAAATACACTCAGTTATTATTGTATAAAGAATAACACAAAACAGACATAACAGCATACAGTCAGCAGCACAAATCATATGCGATACTTACATTACAGCTTCCGACAACAAAATAAAGCACAAACTGTATAAGTGGTATGAGCGTTGGGGAAATATACGCACAAAAAACACACAAAAAATGTCCTTGGCATTCTGATTCCAAAGCAGCGTTTAATTTTCGAATGAAAATTTGCTCAAAATTTTGGTTCAGATGTCAAGGTTCCACTTTATTTTTATTATTTAACATTGTTAGTCTACTTTAAATAGATATCAAGTTTAGGCCAAAAAAAATTTTTTTTAGCGATTCACTGAATGAATTATGTTCATGAAACTTACTGTTGAGACATTCAATATGCGGTCTCCCTAAGTCTTTGGCCAGCTCCCAATAATTTAAAAACTCTTTGAACAAGCGATAGAGACCGCAGGTGGTTTTCCCTGTGCCACTGCGGCCTAAAAGTAGCAGAGGAATTTCAGGTTTTAAATTAATGAATGTGTGCTCGATTTCTGTCACTCTGAATGGAAAGTCCACCTGAAATCAGACAATAATTATTACATAAAAGGATTTGGTATGAAAATGAATGAGTCGAGAAGAGACTTATAAATAGAGATCCTAACGTAATGGAGAGATATGGAAAGGGCAGAGACATTGAAAGGGCTAAAAGGACTTTAAAAAGACAGTGACAAAGAAAATGGAATGATGTCGTTGATGTCTACATTCAACTTTCTTGGGGGTAGTGGGTGGAAGATCATAATTTATTTATTTGGACAATCAGATATTTTAATTAATAACCAGTACAATTATATTTAGCTTCATGTATAGTATTAATAATTGGCCATCAAACTCAACTCAGAGTGACTAAATAATTATCAAGTAGGCAAGTAAGTAAAGTTCTAGTCACCTTCGACTCCCCATCATTTAGAACGGCTTCCACCATCTGGGATGACATTGTGTACAGTTTCAGGATGGTGAACTCATTCTCATGCAGACTGGCCGGCGGAGTGAGTTGGATGACCTGACCTCGCTGGACCTCTTCAAGTTCCCCTAGGTCAGTGCATTCTGTGAAAAGTTTTGGAAGGGTCTTCTCACTTTGGTGTAATGTTTCTTTCCTTTGTATCATCAGGAATTTCTGGGGGGAGAAGTAAAAAAGGTAATATTAGTTTAGAATAGCTGACTGAAGCTTTTAGTTATATTTAAACATAAATTGACTGAAGCAATCAGTTATATTATTTTTTTTTTAAAGTTGACTGAAGCTATCAGATTTCAACAAAAAATGACAGAAGCTTTCAATTATATTCAGATATATTTTTTAAACAATTATCATTTGATAAAAAAAATAACTTTTAGAATTATTTACCTGAATCTCTCATGTGGATCCCATTGGAGCAGAAAGGGTTCCTAGAATTGTGCCTATAACAAGCAATGAAGTTTCTAACTATTTTCAGGTAGGTATCTATGTTTGGATTGGTTGAGAGGGGTGGGGAGCATATTTATTTCTATAGGCCTACTGCTCGTTGAAGTTGCAGCAACACCATGTTCCCTGTTTTATCCTACTTTAAAAGCACTAATGGATGTTGCCTACCTTGACAACACACAGCTGACCACGTTGATGTGACTTGACCACTTTGGCAACGGCTGGTTGCAAGTTAGATTTCTTCAGCACTATCTCCCACACCCGAACATGCTCGGCGTAGACTCTCCCTTCTCGGATGGCCGAATCCTGGCTGTCATGAGATCCTCTTGTTTCCTGCGGGTTACTGAGACGGGGTGAAAAGGCGATGGCTCTCTCCCACAAAATAAAGGCACCAGAAGTTAAAGGTACAGCATACAATTTTAGTGTATTTGGCACATCTCTCCTAGATCTCTGGTTGATAGAAATCACAAATATATAATTCATATAATTTCATGAGATTTGCTGTGTTGCAAAAATTCATGTTTCATGCTTTGATATTTTGAAATTGTCATTTTTTAATTCTCATAGTTTCAATGCTTGAATTTTTAAATTAGATTTTCATGTCCTACTTTTTCTTCCCTGGCAGTCACACAAATTCAGCTCCACTAGCACTAATAAGAGACTATAAGATTAAAGCTTATGGAATTGTTCCATCTATATTCCCATCTGCAGCATCAGAAACGCAAATAAGAACATTTAACAAAAATATATATCCTTTTTTTTTCTGGGATGGACATTGGTTTATACCCATATACACTTACAACCAAATACCTATCAACACACTTATATAGCTTTACCCATATAGCCTTATATCCATAAACCTTTACACCCCCAGTGTTTTTTTCAGGGCGGGGGGGGGGGGGGCAGAATTATGATGTGCTTTGGCCTAGGTTGAAAAGATGTGTAAATCTGAACCTAAAATACTCTTAGAGGTGGTACAACTGGGATGAATTTAGTGTATGTTTGGTGAAAGAGCTCACTCTGATTACAGTTGAGCCCAATTATGTCCATAGATTTACTGTTCAGTGGCATATCCAGGGTTAGTGCTGCTCAGAGCGGGCCACAATTTTTGTCACCCCAACCACAATAAAAACTCTGCAGTAGCAGTTGACTGAAAATGCCACCCCTCCATGAGAAGAAAAAAAAGGGCTCAAGGGTGGACCTACTCCACCGCCCCCTTCCCTCACCATTGGTGCTGCCCACTCGGACATCTGAAATGTCCTCTTCCAACGAATTTTCTGAAAGAATTGCTGAACACCCCTACATCTAATCTATATACCTCTGTACCAATATACCACTACATGCATTTACACTCATATTCTTACATGTACATATCTCTGAATCCATATGACCCTAAATCCATAACCCCATACACTCCTACTTCTCTGACAAAAACTGACATTTTTTTTTAAAGAGTAAATGAGGGAAGGAAGAATTTTTAAAACAATTAAATCAATAAGATATCCCACAAGCAAGACCTGTGTATGAACTGACCAATTTCCTACAAGAAATGACTTACCTCCTAAATACACTGAACTACCCCATACAGGAACTGACCTATCACTTACATGAAATGACCTACCTCCTAAATGCACTGACCTACCATGTACAAGAATTGACCTACCACTTACATGAAATGACCTACCTCCTAAATGCACTGACCTACCCCATACAGGAACTGACCTACCACTTACATGAAATGACCTACCTCCTAAATGCACTGACCCTCCATGTACAAGAGCTGACCTACCACTTACATGAAATGACCTACCTCCTACAGGAACTGACCTGTTTCAAATTCTTCCAGTCTCCTGAACCCAGCTGTTTCAACTTCATCAACACCAGGTTTCTCAAGGACAATTTCCGTGGACCAATATCAACAGTGGCCTGTCTTTTGCTGATTAATGTCCTCCAGACTGACTCTAAAACAAATAGTAATGTTTTTGCTGTTTGCATTTTCGCACTGTCATATTGGTTTTAAAATTAGAACTCACACAAAAACATCTACATTTTTATTACTAAGCACAGACTCGCAGCAATAAAATTGAATATTTTAAATTAATTTGGATCATTAAATAACATTACTGTAATGAATATCCCACTCATCATATTACCAGTGACACTCAGCCATTTACCTGTAATTCAATACCCCACTCACCCATTTACATTTATAATCAATACCCCACTAACCCATTTACCTTTATAATCCATATCCAACTCACCCATTTACCTTTATAATCCATATCCCACTCACCCATTTACCTTTATAATCAATACCCCACTCACCCATTTACCTTTATAATCAATATCCCACTAACCCATTTACCTGTAATTAAATATCACAGTTACTCATTTACCTGTAATTCAATATCCCACTCACCCATTTACCTGTAATTAAATACCCCAGTTACCCATTTATCTGTACCTTCAATATCACACACACCCATTTACCTGCAACTCAATAATCCACTCATCCATCTACCTGTAATTCAACAGCCCACTCATTTTACCTGTACTTTCAATATCCCATTCATTCTTTTAACTTTATATTCAACATCCCACTGACCCACTTACCTGTACATTCAATATTCCACCCACCCATTTACCTGTACATTCAATACCCCAATCATCCAATTACCTGTACATTTAATATCCCACTCATTTATTGACATTAAATATCCCACTCACCCATTTACCTGTAATTAAATATCCGTTACCCATTTACCTTTAATTAAATATCCGTTACCCATTTACCTTTATATTCAATATCCCACTCACCCATTTACCTGTATATTCAATATCCCACACATTCATTGTTCTTTATATTCAATATCCCACTCATCCAATTACCTGTAAATGTGCGGTGAGCCAAGCCCTAGGATGGGGTACTGTGCTATATAAGACCACTAATAATAATAATAATATCCCACTCATTCAACCACATGTACATTCAATATCCCTCTCATCCATTTACCTGTACATTCAATATCCCACTCTAAATTGTCAAATTCGTTTGGGTCTACCTCCATCTGGTCAATTGTTGACAATTCATCAATATCAGCTTGGGTAAGTTCCTCTCTTATTAGTCCATCTTTATTAATGAATGATAATTTTTTTTTAAATTTGTATTCTATTCTTCTTTGTCTTTACTTAAAATTTATCTGAGAAAAATAATGTTACCACATCTCATTACCTCATCCACATAACAATAAATACAAATGAGATACACAGAAACAATTGTTTTGGACTTTTGGATGACCCTGATACTCACCAATAGAAAAACATTTTACTCACCGAAGTTGGAATTCCCCAATCCGTTGTCAGGTGACTTTCCTTCTTCACCGTTGTCATCGTCAGAATCCAACAATCTCGGAACAACGAATTTACTTTCTGCTTGTGTTGGGTTAAGAAAACCGGTGGCTTCAGGTATTTTGGACAGCAATGTTGAAATTTTGGTTTCTATGTTCTAAAAGTTATCAAATAAGAAATTACAGCTAAATTAAAAGAGCAGATCTAGACTTAATCAATTGGTTGGTGAACTCATGATGACCCCCAGTATGTGTACTCATGATGATCACCAGTAAGTGAGATCATGAAGACCCCCCTCCCCTCCCACTGTATGTAAACCTAACAAGCCCCCCCCCCCCATCCCCAATAAGTGAACTTATGGTGCTAACATGGGCATTAACTCATGGCAGTAACATGGGCAACAACTCATGGCAATAACAAGGGCATTAACTCATCGCACTAACACCGGCATTAACTCATGGCAATAACATGGGCATTGACTCATGGTAAAGCTCTATTGCACACTCACTATCCAACACATTTTATCCTAACATGCAACTATCCCCTTTATTCCTTATCCTGACACATACCTCTTCCACTGAAGGCTTTGAATTTGTGTCTGTCTTAGGCACAGCTCCCTCATTGGCTACAAAAAAAAATTTTAAAAACACACTTACTGTACACATTTTCTGAGGTCAAGGGTTTCTTAATATTTTTTTTCGGTTTCAAATAACATTTTATCTCTTAATTACCCTCTACTTCAAATTAAATTATTTAATAATAAACCCAGAAGCTAATGAAATGTAAACCTGAGGGCTCAATGACAGCTCTATTTTTCACTAATCCATGGACAATTTATACTTAAATTCTACTAAATCTCCGTAAATTTTACTAAATTTAGAATGTGCCTTTAATTCATGCAGATTATTTACTTATTTACATACTTCACTTATACAGATTTTTAGACCGTCATATAAATTTTAATCCATCATATAGATTTAAGACTTTTGTCATAGAAATTTCATGCAGATTTCCCTACCAACTTTAAAGCTAATCTCTTTAACCAATTTTAAAACAAAATATTGTAGAAATAAAATTTAAGGGAAAAAATGTCTAAACTTTAGAAGGTATTTCAGGGGGTTTGAGGAAAGGAAAAGTGGGTTACAAAAAAACAAAGGAGCTTTTAACTTTTAAATTATGACATAAATGTAGAGGTATTTTTTCTCCTTTATATAGTTAGT